GAAAATAATGCTTATAGATTTTTTTCTCTTAAGTGATAACTACTTCATCCAATAGAGCCATTTACCAATTACTGGCAATAACTCACTGACTAAATTCTAGAAAAGTTTTAGGGACACTGTTTAACTTGGAAATGCAGCTGAGTAGTCAACTGACATTCACATCATTGCACAGTGCAGACTGCAGTCTGCCTTGAAAATGACCAAAGGCTCAAATAGGTATTTTTAGTGACAATGACAAAATTGGAAAAAAAAAAACCCTCTCTTCTCATTTAAGATTTGTTAATTAAAGAATACCCAAATATTAAGACACATGAGTCCTGATGAAACCAAACCAAGACATGCTAACTGAAACGGCTGCCAGCATGATACTTCTCTATTCTTCTGAGATTCTAAGATTTGTCCGACTGTGACTGACACACAAAGTGACCTTCCAAACACCTTCCACCTTCATAAATTTTTGTATATGTATACAATATTTCCTCTCTGAGCATGAAAACAGAGAATCACAAAAGATTTACTTTATACAGCTGAGAGAAATAGTAAGTCATTGAGTGCTACATGTGAATATAGGCAGAGAATTGTTGCTTTGAAACAGGTTTGTCGAGCAGTTGACATTAAGTGAATGAAGATGGCCGATTTGAGTTGGAGATAGCAAAAGGGACATGGGTATTTTTGGGACTGTCACAGAGTTATAAAAAGCTCTACTAGTCTCTGGTATGTGAACTTGAAGCAAATGCTGCTTGGTATTATTGTACACCACAGCGGTTATTCTTAGTCACCAACATATCTGTTTTCACATTTACTTCATTTTTCAGATTCAGACTTCAGTAGAAACAAACTTGCAGTGGTTTTTAAGACGTTTAAAACAGGAAATACAACTAAACAGCGCTTACTTAGCAAACAGGTTCCAGCTTGCATATACAAAAAACATATACATCAGCTTTGCACACCCACAGACTGCCACTCCATGTCACTGAGCAAGACCCTTAACCCTGAACTGCTCCCCGGGCACTGCAAATGGCAGCCCACTGCTCACCAAGGGGGTGGGTTAAATGCAGAGAGGGAATTTTATTGCGCTGTACTTGTGAGAGTGTAATGACAATAAAATTCTGGGGAAAACAAAAAGAACAAAACTAGCTATATGTCAAACACAAGCTTTATTACTTTATTTTACATATTATCTATTAGAAAAAATAATTGTATGTTCAAACGTACAATTATTTTTTTCTAATATCAGTGCCATTCTGTATAATTTTTCAGAGTAATTTTAAGAACCTTGTAACTCTCAGGAACCACCTGATGTATTGACGAGTAGAACCACTTTGCTACCAAATTTACACCACCTGTAAAAAAAACTGCATTACAAAAATGCCATTGTTTTGATTATACGTATTTGAAAACACACCAAAAAGAAAACAGGGTATTGATTCTCCTCATATTTTCACTATGGAATAGAGGTTTAAGGTTAGGAGTTAGGAGTTGTTCACATTTTTGGAATTTCATGCAAATCTGTAATACAGTGTAGTACACATTCAGTCCTCAAGGGAGTGTATGTTTCATTTTTTTAGTTCTTCTACCTAGACGCAGTTGCTACCTCTTTAGCATGTTTAAGTTCTGCATATGCCTGCTTTAAGCTAACAGGTGGAGCAGGATTTTTTTTTACTTATTTAATTAAATCAATTCAAAAGTGAAAACCCACACTGATTTATTAAAGAGGTAGATCTAAAGCTGATTATGACTTATGGTAATGTGAATGTAGAAATTTCTCAAAAGAACAGAGCTAAATTAAATATTGGTTTTATAATACAAGATGTACAATGCAAAAATGTTACATTAGGCCTTGTTATGCCCAGCATAATGAAGGGAAGACTAATAACTTCACAGTTATGAAGAATGCTGACAATGACACCCCCGCTGTTGTTAAGATACAGGTAGATTTAAGCTCATTAATAGAAAAAAAATAAAACAAAAAAAAAAACATATTGAAAAGGACATTTTAATATGTCCCCTTTTTTGAGAAACAGAATTTGGCTAATTGCATTTCAAGAAAGAAAAACAGCAACAGTGGATTAGAAACCTAAGCTGAGTGAAAAGGAACAAGTAACGACAAGCTAGAAATATAGTTGAGTAGAGAGTACAATATTTGACTTTTAAATGTAGTGGAGTGAAAGAGCTTTTTTTTTTTCTTTTTTTTTTTTCCTCTTTTTTTCTCCAAAACTTTATTGAAAAGTTGCAAATTACAAAATATTAACATAACATATCTCAAGAAATAGAACAGTATCTCAAGACAAAGTGTTAAATGATGGAGTGCAATTACAGTTAAGATATGACAGATGAGATTTAAACAAAGACAAAAAACAAAAGGAAAGAAAAAAAAAGGGCCAAGATATATTACATTTCTCCAAATATTTCCCAAATTACGTTAACAGTGTGTATACATTTTTTATTGTTGATTCTTTGGATACAATTGAAGTACATTTTTAAATCATTTTCAAACACAGGGAAGAAAGGTCTTTGGAAAATTTGGTTTTGTGTATGTGGAATTTTGCAATTAGGATAATCAAGTTAAACAAGAATTGCATTTTCCTATCATTATTAGTATAGTGTAAGATAATATTTTTGGCTTGTAGTTTAATTGGTGTGTTGGAGTGCGATATGATGTAAACCTCAACTTCTTTTCCAGAATATCTGTTAAAATTTACATTCAAAAAATAGATGCTTAATTGTTTCCTCGTCAGTCTTACAGAATACACAGTTGACATTAATATTGACAAATTTAGCTAAAAAGCGTTAGTAGGGTAAATGTTATTTATAAATTTGTATTGGATTTCTTTTATTTTGTTAGAAATAGCAAATTTGTGTGGAAGAAGCCATCTTATTTTCCAGTTAATATCAGGGAAAGAGGAGGACCATACAAATTTGAGGAGTACATTCTTTTATTTTTTTTTTAGGAATTCTTCACTTTTTGTTAAATTATAATCTGAGCTGTATAGATACAAATAAAATTGAAAGACATGGCTTGCTAAAACAGTTGGGTTAGAAGTCAAGGACTTATTTATTTTTAGAGCTGTGATATTATTCCTTTTATAGTTTCTTTTTGTTCTCTCTTTCCTCTAACCAATTAGCTCTGGAGTGTATGAAGGGTCCCTTAGTCATATAAATATATAATTGATCTAACTCAACTTTCAGCTTTCCCAGTTGAATTTCTTCCCCTAAAGTAAGGGAGCTTTTATTTACCAGGATATTAAGTTATTTCATAAGTTCAGATTCTTTTAGGTTGTTTTGTTTTTTCATTTCTTTACAGTGTCTAATGGCTGACTATCTGATTTTAAATTTAAAGAATTCCCATTTTTGTATATTACTTAGTTCTTTCTCTTTAAAAATATTTCCGGCAATTGCTTTGACTGAGTGGTGAAAGGCTTCACCTTTAAGTATATTACAATTTAATTTCCAATAACCACGTAATGTTACTTTTTTTTTGTAGTGGATTAACAAAGGAAATGATTATCATTTTGTGATCTGAGAAGGGGGCATAACTATGTGAAATTTCAGAAACATATTGCATAGTGTATGAAGATACTAACCACGTATCTATATGATAAATTTGGTCCCCCCATTGACTTCTCCAGAACTTGCGATCATCTTCAATCAAGTGTGTTTCTTGTAAAAAAAAAAAATAATAATCTGCAATAGATCTTCTAAGAAACAGAAAAATTGACTTTATATAAATGAAAATAAAAAATGATGCCAACAGACTATAATACTTAACAGAAAAACAATAAGAAAAGAGCTCAATTAAAAGCTCTCTACCTTAAGAGAAAGTGGAAATACTCTGAACATTATGAATATCAGTCATCTAATCAACTTTTTGTAGGCCAGAACATTGCTTATAATAAGCTTTCTTAAACTTTTTTTTTCTTTTTTTCTTTTTAACCTGTATGTTTTAAGAGGTATCTTAGTCAGCATGTAGGACTCTCATACAGTGAATTTAACCCCATCTATGTAAACAATTGGACCTTGCCATCTTGTTTTCTTTCCGTCCTTACGTGCCTGTTCGACCTAGGGCCACAGTTTATTCCAAGAAGGAAGTGCGATCATTCTTAGGACTAGCTGGTTGGTATTGAAGGTTTGTCCCTCATTTTGCTACACTTGCTCCTCCACTCACTAGTTTGATAGCTAAAAACCAGAAGAATCCTGTTGTGTGGTCCAAGGAGTGTGAAGATTCTTTTAACGCTCTAAAAGCGCACCTATGTTTTTCTGCTGTCCTCCAAAATCCTGATTTGAGCAGGAAATGTCTGGTCCTAGTAGATGCATCCACAGTTGGTTTAGGAGCTGTTTTGGCTCAAGGAGATCCTGGAGAGGAGCAACCCATACTCTACCTGAGCCTCAAGCTGCTACCTCGGGAGGTGAGATATTCTGTGGTGGAAAAAGAAGGACTGGCCATTAAGTGGGCTCTGGAAAGTCTCAAGTATTATCTTCTGGGCAGATACGGTAATTTTATTTGGAGACAGACTATCGTGCCCTGACCTGGATCAACACCATGAAGGATAGTAACCATTGTCTAACTAGGTGGTATACGTCCTTGCAACCTTACAAATTTAACATCTGTCATAGAAGTGGCAGACTTAATAAAGTGGCAGACTTTCTTTCTAGGTTGCCGAACTTCACCAACCTTGGAGAGGAGAGGGGTGGTGTGACGGAGGAGCCGTCATCAGCCGGGACTTAGCTATAAGTCCGTGTCAGCATGCGCACACACACACATACACAATCGCTAGCTTACTTTTGTTGCAGGTTGGGCTGGCGCTGTTCATCGTGGGTGCACACGCGGTGTTCCGGTTTCAGTAAACATTTATTCTAACCTGTTTATTTTCAACTAAGAATATTATCTGCTTTTATTTTCAAACATACTGAAACGAATATTTGTTTTTGTTCCAGTTTTTGTTTGTGATGTTTATCTGAAGTTGTGTGCACATTTCTACAAAGCAGATCTTTAAAACATTTTTATCCTGATAAGTTTGAGAATATCACTTATTCTGGTTCTAAATTTTCTTACAGCCCTCATTCTTGATGTCATGACGGTTGCTGGAGTCCAGAGACTGGTGAAGCGCAGAGGACCATGGGAGATGACGCCAGGCTTCCTGGACTGTGTAGCTATGGACGTGTACTCTTTCCCTGCCGCTCATGCCAGTCGAGCTGCCATGGTCTCCAAATTCCTGCTGTCTCACCTGGTCCTTGCTGTGCCCCTGCGCATACTTCTGGTGCTGTGGGCCTTCCTGGTTGGCATGTCTCGAGTGCTTTTGGGTAAACACCACCTAACAGATATGGTGTGTGGTTTTGCCTTGGGGATGTTTCACTTCAGTCTGATGGAGACTGTGTGGCTGTCCTCCAACACCTGTCAGACTCTTATTTCCATAAGTACATTCAGCTGGAGTCCTTTTTATTGAGCTTTGCTTGTCTTACATGATATTACAACTGATACTAACTGTGCAATATTGCAAATTTTGATCTGAGGAGCTATTTTTGCAGATAGGGAAGTTTTAACACATGGATGCAGATACTGACTTGCATGCAACGAGCAAAAAATTCACACAGGTCCTTGGGCCTTTCAGAACTAGAAATTCTAGTCTAACACATTTTTATTCATTATTTCCATCAAAAAGTAATGACTAAAATAAAAAAAATCAGTTTCTATCTCTAAGTTTTAACGACTCTATAGCAGATGGTACTTTTCATATGTAATCTAACCTGTAATCTATTTTCTTTGTGAAGCTTCTGGTTGTTGATTTCCTCCATTTCTTCTGGCTCTATCTCTTAATTTTCTATTTGATTCCCTTGATTGTTTGTTTTTGGCACCATGTGATCAGTTTTGTTGTAGTATCTTTATTCATATTTCTTCATTTAGTGTGACATCTATATGGATATATTACATATTAGTTAGCTTCTTATTTGACATTGCTATAATATTTGCATATTTCTGTTTTTCTTTTTTTTCTTTTTGTAATTTAAACTGTACATTTGTGCCCTTAACCTTTTCAATGCAGCTGAATTAGGTTTTTCTTGCACACTCATCAAAGAGAATGAAATACTTTCTAATAGTTTAGGGTAAAGTATAAACCTTAGAAATTGTTTTTCATTTTTTTCATTAAAGGCTGTCTGTCACAATGAAATTATGGTTTAAGAGTTGTTTTTTGTTTGTTTGTTTTTTTTTACATTTGGGTGGACCTTTTTTTTTTTTTTTAGATAAACAAAATGCAGTGTACATTACCTACTTTGTTCTGTACAGAGGTCTGTGTATGATGTTTACACTTTATTGCTGCATCTCAATAATAAAACCAGATATACAGTTGCAATGCTGTGTTTTATCAATCCTGTGACAAGAAATTGACAATGACTCAAATATTTATGCATGTAGAATTGATCATGACTCAAGTTTTCTTAGATGTGTTCATAATACCATGATTTACTCATCCTGAAGAAAAAATATATATAAATGGGAATTTTACATAAGTCTTATTGGAACTCTAAAACATTTTTAAAGCTTAAAACAGTCAGCAAAAATAAAGAGGTGCACATTAGATGATGCAGTACCTCCTAAAAGTAATCATAGTACTGGAAATATGTTTGCTGGAGTAACAAAAAGTAGTAAAATAATACTGAAAAGTAGAAGGTAAACATTGTATGGTTAAAAAAAAACCATTTTCACACTTTTTGTTATTTTTTTCATGTTTGGCAGCTGAATGCTTATCCATGTTAAAATTGTGGGATTGGTTTAGTAACCCCTGAGATGCATAAAGAGCAGGGTGTCCTTCCATATAAAACTAAGCTAATTACCTATCAGTGCACTGAGTTTCAGTTTATTTGTACATAAATAATATTTTAGACCTTTAAAAAAAAAGTCCGGTTAGAGACCTGCATCATCTCACATTCTTAAACGTAGAACAGCTATAAATATGAATGACCTTACAATTCAATTTATGACAGGAAGCAACACCAGTGCAATGGGTTGTGGTCTATAACACAGTTATAAGGAGGAACTGAAGCTGCTTATTCGACTGACTGAAATGTTTGCTGTGAAAAATGGTGGCATTTCTTAGTTTCCTACAAAATTAGAATAACATCTTACTTTTTGTAGGTAACAAAAATATGGTAAAATGTATCATGATAAAACACAGTGAATGTGGAAAAGGTGTAAAAGATGCAAGTTGACATTTTCTAATGATGTTTTCAAAAAAGATCTTGTGGACCCACACTATTTCAAGTCAAGTAAACTTTCCAGTTAAACCAAAAGGAACATTTATTCCAATTATAGCATAGAAAGAGCATAAGCTTGTCAAGGAAAACAACCCTCCACACCTGTGAGAGTAGTTTAATTTATTAGTTCCTAAATCAAGGCTTTCAGGTTGCTCTTATATCTGTAACCACAATATTGTTGCATGCAGTGAGCGTCCGAAGACCCTGATATGTTCTTCTGTTGTGTCTTCATGCTTGTTTTGAGAAAGATTAAGGTAGGATTAGACACAATAACCTTTGGGTGCCTCATACCTTTGCGTTTTTAAATAACTGCAACTCAGTGCATGTTTTTTCTGGTTAATCTTAAAACATTTTTCCAACAGTCTTCAAAACCATTACATAAATCATCCATAAAGATACAAAAGCTGTTTTTTCTAACAACCAAACCCAGGTTCTGGTTAAATGACCACTCAGCTGGTAAGAGGAGAGCTCCCCCTGGAGGAGACTGAATGGACACCCTGAAGTAGTTGTGTTTGTGATTAATTGTATTTTTATGAGAGAAAAAAAACAACCAAATACATACTGGGCAAAAGGAGCATCTGAATATTTTGTAATAGAGGTTTCTATACCCAATATGGTAAAAAAAAAAAAAAAAAAAAAAAAAAATATTGGAAAAGACAAAATGCAAGTCCCACATTTTACAGCTTCATGATTGCAGTTGCATCATCTCTTCTTTGTTAAGAACATGATCAGAGGGATTTTTTTTGTCTGTTTTGGATAATAGAAATCTAATGTTCTGACAAACAGTTTCTAGTGATGTAGCATTGTCTCTAAATAGTGTGCTAAAATAGTTTAGCTTTGATCAATGCTTCAGAATAGAAGTACTGAGAACACAAAGTTTGCTTAATAAAAAATGTTCTCCACTTGTTTAATACTATGTGTTTTTTTTTGTTTTTTTGCCAAAGACATCGATAGAATGGCAGCTAAAATGCGACTGGGTTGTGAAAATGTATTTTAACTGTAGAATACCACAAAATACAAAAGAACTCTGGCAGAAAAGAAGTCGAGTTAAGTGCTTTTGGATCAATAACATTGAAATTTGAAAAACGTACAAAGATTCTTGAGCATTTACACTGAACACGGGTAGCAAGGAATCTGACTTTTTCATGTTTGAACGAGAGTTAGTCATGATGGCTATTACCATTGCTGCTGAAGAAAATTGTGATGATGATTAATTAAAATAATTAACACACTTGAATAAAACCAAACAGAGACAACATGGAGTTACCTCAGCTTTAGTTAGTTAGTAATCCTCCTCTTCATTATGCCAGGCATAGCAAGGCCTAAAACAACATTTCTGCATTTTAAATCTTGTATTATTGAATTAATATTTAATTCAGCTCTGTTCTTCTGATAAATTTTAGCATTATTATGTCATATTCAGCTATAGATCTCTCTCTGTAATAAATTATTATTGGTTTTCTCTTTCAAATTGATTTAATTGAATAAGCAAAAATCTTTGAATGAAATTCGAAGATTGTACTTTTTTTCTTTATAAAAATCAGCATAGGTTTGTTTCATGTGTTGCTCTTAAAATTGACCACTTTCGGGTCTTAATGTAATAAAAGCTGTTTTCACAACATATTTTATCATTTGATTAAGTATAAAGTTTCAATTTCAGTAGGACATTTAAAAATTCTACAGAAGCACCACAGAGAGGGTTCTGACCAGCTGTCTCTGTGTGGTGTGGAGGCTGCAGCAGCTCAGACTGGAAGAAGGTGAGAAGAGATGTGAGAGGATCATTGGGGCTCCTCTTCCCTCCATTAAAGACATTTCAGCCCAGCACTGCGTGTCCTGAGCCCGTAACATCATAAATGGCCCCTCACACCCCCAACATGGGACTGTTCTCCCTGGTGCCCTCTGGGAAGAGGCTTCGAAGCATTGGATGCAGGTCCTGCAGATTACAGAACAGTTTCTTCCCCACTGCCATTAGACTGGTGAATATTATGTAAAATGGGTTATAATAAAAAAAAAAAAGAAACTGCATGTTGGAACTGTAATTATGCAGTCATATGTTTACATAACTTTTTTCATCACAGTGTTTTTATCTCTGCTGCTTACCTTTATCAAGGCTGCACTTAAAAAAATGAAAAAGTCTAGAGAGCTGTACTTCACGTCATTTCTTTTTGTATACACTTGTATGTACAACATGACAAAAATAAAATCTGTCTAAGTGTTAATTCTGAAGAATTCAAGTGGATTGTTTGTGTAATGATTAAAATTGACCAGCAGGTGGCAATGGCTACACTCGCTCCGGTTACGTATGCTGATCACAGCCGAGTCGATCCAGCTTGCGCTGTTCTTCATTCTCAGGCCGGGTAGGACCCCAGCAACAACTCTGCGATCGGTTCAACCTATGAAGATTGAGCTCTACAATCGCAATCCATCCTCCGATTATACAACATTTTGTGGAACTATATTAGTGTCACTGAGCAGAAGACATTCATAAATTGTTAAATTCGGTGAGTCCTAAATGCAAACTTGGATCATATTGACGGCTTTGTCATTTTTCGGGGCTGCTCAGTTTTATGGTTGCTTTGTTCTGTGCAGCAGCCATTTTTAATCGCCTTGTCCTACATTCCCGTCGCTGTCTATTGCCCGTTTAAAAAGCCAAGTAAAGGTTGAAAATTATTACTGCATACAAGGGCTTCATAGTAATTCAAGCTGAGAAGGCATTTTAAATTAAATGTTTTCGAAGTGAAGTGCACTGTCAAACCTCTGGCCTGTGTGGGCTTGTTTTATTCAGCTGTACGCTAGAACTTTAACGGGATTTTCGTTATGCTAGTTTTCCAACAAGCTTCGACTGTCGAAGGGAGTTTGCTGAAGCCAAATCTCTGTTTGTTTGGTCTACATACAAAAAAATGAATGCAATGAAGCATTTCAAGTAACTACAACATGGATCAAACTTACTAGTAAAAGTCACAGGCGACATTAAACCGTTAGCATTTGATGTTTACATAGCGCTTCTGATTTAGCATACCCAAGGTTAGCTGCTAACATTGTTCAAATTATGACTTTAAAATAGCCTTTTTTCGATATGCATTTACCCTCTTATTTTAATTTTGCAATTCTTATTTTTGTTATAAATCGTTATTTGTCACACTTGGAGGAAAAACTTAGTATTTTTCTGCTGAATATTTGTTGTCAGACTTAAATGCTAGCTTTAGCATTAAAGCTAACTGTCAGTAAAGGAATTTAAAAGACGATACATTGCGCTTTACCGGAATTTATTTCATTTATCACATTGTAATATATTCTGTTTTTAGTTTAAAGGATTGTAAAATTAAATGGTTTATAATTGTTTTAACCAAAAGGGTTAGTGGTCAAGCTACTAGCTAACAAATACGAAGCAGCTGCTAGCTGGTAATTAGACAGTTGTGGGGTTTATATTGTAAAACAAATTTTCTTTACCAGTAACGTTGCAGAAATAGTTGCATCTGTTGTTGCCAATATAAAAGTGGAGATATGTTTATGGATGAGTTCAGACAGTTTAAGGAGTCAGTGTAAACGCCTATGCGGAGTTTAATCACGATTGGCCTCCCCTTCACTCGTATTAAATGGCACTTTACCGTTATGTTAGGATGATTTGAAAAGGTTTTTTTGTCTGGGCGAAAAATAAATCCCATTTATTTATCATTTATCTGTATTTTTATTGTCAAATACAGTTCTTTTAATTATATCTAGTATGGAACTCACTCTTCTTTTAGATGCTTCGACTGTTTAGATAAGCGTGACAGCTGTGGATCTGTGTTGTTTAGTGTCATTGGAAGACAAAAAGCTGCTTTTACTCTTATTGTTTGAAGCTCATTTGAATGTTAAATTGGTCTCAGTTGAAACAAATATCATGTCTCAAAACATGTCAAAGTGAAGGATGTATGTATAAAAACACTTGTTTATTTACTTTAGGTACAATATTATTGATTTAACATCGTATCAACAAAATTAGAATATGCTTGGGAAGATGAAATGCTGCACATTATTGCCCATAATATTGTTTGATCCTACATTAGTTTTGTGGGAATTGCAACAGTTTTATAAAGACTTTATTATTTGTGGATGCATATAATTTGTTTGGCGATAAATTGAAATACACTTGTAATATACATATATAAAATACTTGTTTTTACAGTTGGTTTGATAACTGAGTGTAAAATTATTTCATTGCTGCTTCCCATTATTAGCTTGTGTTATGTCCACTGATTTGTATTTTTCTTTCAGGTGATCCCAAATGTATGACACAATTGATTTTGTTTTATTTATACATTTATTTTTATTTACAGTTCAATTAAGATTGATCCTATTTATGCATCTAGGGCTGCACATTTTCAGGAAAACATTTTTCTAACAATATTATTACCAAAGTCTGGCATAACTGTGTTGATTACATTTGACCCCCATTTTCCTCTATTGTTTTCTGTACCTGTTTCTCCATCATTGCAATTTCCCCACTATTTTCTGAATGCTTTAGTATCCTGGACGCTAAAAATATGTGTACCTCCTTGGGCAACAGTCAGTTGTAGACTGTTCCATATGTGTTTGCATGCAAACTTTAAATCCAAGGTATTGGATTGCGATAATGCAATGGCTATTTCTTGGTGTTTTGCAGCTCTTGACACATCGCTGTGTGCTCTGTCTCACCCCTGATCTTTACTAATGCAATAAGTATCAAAAGTCAAAATGTTAATTATTTTAGACTGCAGACAGAGATTGGTTTTTAGTAGCATTTTCTAGCTTTTCAAGTAGAGACTTGAAACAGTCTACAATTAACGTTTTAAAATATACTTAATTTTCCAAGCCTAGTCTTATTATCTTCTGCTATTTATAGTTAAGGATGCATCTTAGAACATCTTAAATTGGTAATATCAGTAAATATGGTCATGATGACATCAGTTGTGATATATATGTATTTTCTCCTTTCTTGTGTTTCTAAATTAACTGTTTAATTTTGTACTATG